ACTCACTCACTGGGGTGTTGAGGAGAGCCGTCTCGCTCAGGGACAAAAGGCTGAGACACAGAGCTGGAAGTGTCTTACACAAGTTCACGGAGAACTGAGTGAACCTAGGCCCTGCACCTTGGATTTCATGCCTAGTGAACCACATAAAATAAGTCCTCCTTTCTCTGTCTACCAGTGACTCAGAGAGAGCTGAGAGAGCATGCAACAGGAGAAAGACAGGGCTGTGCTCATGCCCACACCCTGGTGCCAGGCTAAGTACCATTGGGCCTGTCAAACTAGGCCATGGCACTGTCAGGACAACCAACTTCCCAGGGATCCTGGGTCCCTGGGGGCTTTGCTTGAGATTTACTGACTTCCTTGGGCCAGACCCTTTCCTCACAACTATCTCCCTGAGTTCCACTATTCCTCCAAGCAAAGGAATATAACAAAGTCCTTCCCACTTGCTGAGACAAGTCTACCAGACTAGAGCACCCAATGAAGTGGTCGGAAGAGGCAGAGACGCCTGGGGTGGACCTAGACAGCCAGGTCTCCCTGCTGGAATTGCCTCCTCCCTGCCTGCAAGCCCCCTTCCAGCCCCACTCCAGACACAAACACTAGGAAGTGCTGGGTGCCTCCTCTGCAAACATCATTAATGAGGACATGCAGAGTGAACTGCACTGTCCCCAACAGAACGGCTGTTTTGTGTGCCTCTTCGAGGAGCGTCATGTGCTATTGAGGAGACTCATTATGGTTATTCAAACTCAACAGCAGTGCTACAAATATTAGCTCATGGGACAGGTGATTTCCTGGAACAAGAGGAATATCAGGTGTACAGCATGCTGTCTCACACAGACAGAAAGGGGAAGGGGCAAGGGGAGCGAGGCCAAAAATGTAAAGAGAGAAATAGTAAAAGAAAACAAGGACTGCATTCACCTAACAGAGATTCAGAGATCAGAAGAAAACAGGAAACCTGGGGATGCTAGGAGAATGGTGAGAGTTCAGATGGATGAGGGGCTCAGACCTGGAGCAACCAGAGGGAGAGAACCTTGCTTCTTCGGTATTCAGACACTGAGGGACGCTATCACTTCAAATGAAAGAAAGGACTTATCGGGGACAAGGAGAAAGCCTAGGGCTGAGCCCCACAAGCTGCCTGGAAAGACCCTACCAGGGGTGTTTCAAGAACGAGACAAAGCCAGGGTCACAGCACAGCCTGTCTGTCAGGCACGGTTTGCTGCCAGTGTTCATGAGGTGGGAGGAAGTAGAACCAGGCGTCTTCTGAAGCACAGCCACCTCCGAGTTTTTATGAGCCCAAGACTCCTGACATTAATGAAAGGAAGTTCCTCCCGCTGATGGGTCACTGGTAGCCCAAGGAATAACTAGGGGACTCAACTTTCTCAATAAAGACAGGTTATCTTAAGTACCAGCTGCAGGAAGTACATGGAAAGGACTTGGGTCTAGAAGCAAAAATGTCTTTTATGTTCATTCTGATGGCAGCAGCGAAGGCAGTGGACAGGCTCGTGTCCTGCGTGGCAAAACACCAAGTGCCTCTGGTTCGCGTGGGGGACACGAAACCCTGAGCGTGCAGTTAGGGTGTTAACCGTGGTAGCAAAGGCATCCAAAAGAAGGGCTCCTTCCCAAGCAGCAAGAACACAGACAGAGCTGCAGGACAAGCCCACAATCTTTTTATGAGGTTCACCCCCTGCTGATGGTTCCCTGACCAAAATTTTTTAAAAGAAAGAAAAAATTGCCTGAGGATCTTTCTTCCTAAAATATGCATTGTATAGCAGAGTCATCTGCAAATCAACATCAGTTATCTGTGGCTTGGGGATCCAGACTCCAGCAATCCTGCCCTCAGTTGGAAAAGCTGAAAAAACTGCAAATTTGCATGCAATCAAACAAGCCATTATCAGTCCCAGCAGAGAGAGGCACTGGGCTTTGTTGGAACAACGAGGAAACATTCAATCCCTAGGTGTCAATAATAGCTCCTGGACTAGCTGCAACCCTGCCAGGCCTTGGAAAGATGGAAAACACCAGAGAAATAGACAAGGTCGGTGCAGGCTCCTCTTCCCGAGACCCCAGCCCAGAGCACTTGGAGCCAAGACCACAAAGTTGGTAAAGGCTGCCTCATTCACCACTCCCGAATTCTGAATGTGGGGCCTGTGGGGGGGACAGACCGCAAAGCATTCAAAAGACCACCTGAATCATCATCGCTCAGTAGCAGAGTGTGCACTTCCCACCCAATGAGAGAGCCCCAGGCTGGCAAACACAATGTGATTGGCTGAGGACAAAGCAACCCTGGTTTCTAAGGTTAACAGCCTGAAGCAGGGAGTTGGGAGCCTGAAGAAGCCCGTACCTCTGGGAGGTCAGGTGTATTTGGCACCTGGGCCCAGCATTAGAACTAGGTACACAATTTCTTAAGCTGCTCCCAGGACACTGGTTGGGAAGGACTTTAATGCACTCAGGAGACAAAGTGAGCAGCAAGAGTATGGCAGGAGCCTCAGAAAGCTGCCCTGGGGAGGCAAGCAAGGCTCCTCCCTGCAACCCCTCTGGATCCAGGAAATGAAGGTCCCAGGTTCCCTCCTCACCCCCTGAGAGCAGGCTCTTGGCTTGAGGATGTGTCTTCACCTCCCATTTCCTAGGTTAAAAGTGCTGAGAGCTTTGTACTCTGGGGGTGGTATCTGCCCAGCACTTACTCCACACTGCCTGTTCGCAAAATAAACTAAGACAGATGTGATTGGCTCTCCAGGACCTGTTCACCTCACCCCTGCCTACATTGAAGAGGGAGGCTCAGCGGTCAGCAACAGAACTGTAAACTTAGACATAAAAGAAGGAAATTACAACAGCCCCCTCCTCCTCGCTGCACATGAGAGTACCCAGTCTGAAATTCACCTGGCTGAAAAGGCAGCTCTAGGACAAGCTGGGTTCGGCCGCTTACGCCAGGCTGCTGGCTTCCTTCTAATCTAAGCTATGCTCAGCTACCCAAAAGGAATGCATTACAGTGGGAAGGAGGGGAGGAGGAGAATGATCTGAGCTTACACGGTATGCAGGTGGGGGCTGCTCTCTCATTCCCCTCGGAGCCTGGGTGCTCCAGGAGACAGGCAGGACAAGGGAACATGGAGAACCTCGCCATCACAGCAGTAATGGCATGGTAGACACACCCTGCACAAGCCACCTCCTTTCCTCTCAGCAGCCCTGGCAGGTGCAGCTCCTCAGCCTGTTTCACATACTCAGAAGTCTGGGCTTCGAGAAAGAACTGTCTTGCCCAGAGTTACAACCCAATACCATGCCGAACCCAACACAGTGCCAAACTGAGGGGTGAGAGAAACTCAGGGGTCTCTCGGGGGGCAAGCTGCAGGCATTTCTGAGTGGAGACAAGAGGAGCCTCCCTTCCCATGCAACCACACCCGCTCTCAGTGCTGCAACTCAGTCTTGTTAGTACCGGCTGTGTTCAGGGACACAGGTGTTTCGGAGCTAGGCAAGACCCAACACCACTGAATTGCTGGTAACCAAGCAAAACTGTCTCATGGAACGTGTTTGTTGACTACTGGAAATCATCCGTGTTTATGATTTAGGCAACGGATTTGGCAGTACCCCAGGATATCTTCCAGACTTGATGGTCTCCTGGATCCAGAGTTCAAATTGTTTCATGAAAATAGAGAAGTGAGTAACTGGCTGATAATGCAGCTTGCTCATGCTCAGGCAGAGGCCTGTGAGTGTGGAGAGGGGTTTCCTTGGGCCTGGAGTAGGAGAGGGCTGGGTTTCTCAATCTAGGAGCAGGTTTGGGAGAACCCCAAGTCTACAGTTGAAGGGCCCTGGGTTCTTACTGAGGAAGACACAGCCATGCCTAGGTAAGACTGAGACAGGATAGAGGAAATGAAAGATGGGCACAAAGAGACAAGGAGATTGTAACTAAAAAATTGTACTTTTAAAATTGCAACTTCCAGGACCCAGGGAACTTACCTAAAACCATGCACTTCAGCATCCCTCTGGTTAAATGCAGACTCCTCCCCTACCAGAACCATCACACCCAAATTCCTCAGGATACTGAAAGCCCACAGTCTGCTTGAGAAAGTTGCCTGATCCAAGATAAGGGAGCCAATGGAGCGAAGCCAAAGAATATTCAAATTTGCTATTTAAATGCCCAGACCTGTAAAATGGATGATACCTTTCTGGGGGTGGGGGTGGCCCACCTTTTCCCAGGCTTTTTTACCCTTACAAGAGAGGTATGATCATTCCCAGTTCCAAACTATAGTGCACCTCGCCTCTGAGTGGCCACACTGCTCTGGAGTGCAACCCAGATCTCTAAGAAACTCTTCCACACCTCTTATTGAGGCACCCTGAAAATTATTTTTCTGTGACAGGAATCAGTGAACCTGCTGCAAGACGGTGGGTTAAGTTCCATATTTCAGCCTCAGGGACCCTAAAACCCAGCTGGTGACAGCACCACTTAAATTGCATCCCTTATTCCTGAGTATTTCCTGAGGCCTAGTGCCTACTGGCTCTGTAATCCACAGGAACACACAATGAGGAATTGTTCAGGATGGAAAGGGACCTTGAGAGTCATGTGGAGCCCAACTCCTGCAGAGAAACGCCCGCAGGTGGGTGACTGTAGCAGCCTTTTATTGCCCCTCCACCAGGTAAGGGCATGGCGGGAAAGCCTTTACGAACACTGAACACTGGCACCTTGCACTGGAACCTCCCGGGCTCCAGAGCTATAATAAATCTCAGTTACCCAGTTCCATACACTTTGTTACAGCCTCACAAGTAGACTAAGACACAGTATCTATTCATCAGCAGGAACCCACTTTTAGAGTTCCAGGCACAGAAAAGTATTAAATTGGATTTGAATAAATTCTAGCCACAGCTGGTTTCCAGAGGCCAAAGGCCTCACACAGAGTAGGCAGAGGGACCCACAGCTAAATCTATCTCTGTGCTAGAGGAAGGATTGAAGCCAAGTCCTCCTGCCGCTACCTCTGGGAGTCAAGCACCTCCCCAACTGCGGGCAGCCAGGCTGTACTCACCTCCTGCATTTCCCTCGAGGAGTTGTTGCAAGGGATGCTGGGAGGGGATGCCCGTTGGCACCTCTGTTTCCCACTGCTCAGGGCCCAGGAATTGGCAAAGTCATAGGGGTCCGAGGTCAAGGTCCCTGAGGAAGTATTTGAAAAATGATACTTCAGCTATACTGAGTGAAAGTTGTGGGTCTGTTGCTACCTGAAGGAAACTTCTACTAGATTAGACCATAGGCATTTGGGGTGAGCAGGCCCTTTTGTACAGTGCACAGCATGTACCACAGGACATGGGCATTGGAGATCAGTAAGTGGAGAGGAATGGATAGGTGGATGCATGGATGGATGGATGGATGGACGGACGGATGGATGGATGGATGGATGAATGGATGGATAGATGGATGGATGGGTGGATGGATGGATGATAGATGCAATGAGACATGTGATGAAAGTTGATGATGAAGATGCTAATGTCACTTCTCATGCCTCTGCAAAACCTTCTCCCTCTCTCTGAGGTGTCTCCTGCCTCCTGTTGCCTTGACTCTCTTCACTCGTGCTTGGAGATGAGTGAACGCTTCCTCCTAGGACCATTTCTGCATGAGCTCTGCTCCCCCTCTACCTCAGCCTGGCTGGGTGTAACCTTCTCTGTGCTCCTTGCGCCTCTAGGCATCCCTGTGCCGTAACTCCCACTTCCCCTTGTGTTGGTATTCTCTGTAATTCTATTCCTCTTCTATTCAGCTGTGAGCTTCTTTAAGAGCATGGGCTGTGTCTCTTATCTCTACATCCTCACACAGTGCATTGAGAATGCTCACAGCTTCTTTCTGGAGTGAAGGTAAGGATGTGTCGCGGGGCCTAAGTCCTCAGTCACTGCACCCCCCAGGCTCTCCCAGCATCTGTGCTTTGGTGCTTGTAGCATTTATGCTGCTGTCAGCTACCCACAGTGCTAACCCTGCTGAATCTCCATTGCACAGGCAGTAGTGTGGGGCTGCGGCCTTGCAGCATCAACATGAGCAGTCTTTGCAGAGCCAGGCCTGGAAGAGCAAAGCATGTTTTAGGGTCAAATAATGCTCTTGGGAATGGGAAATAAAGTAGGTTGGGGGGGGAGAAAACTGAGGTCTTAGAACTATAGTCAATGAATATCTGCTGTTTGACAGGGAGAAAAAGAATTTCTCCTTCACAGATGTACTCACTCCTTAATATTCTGTAAATACTATCTTCTGTGAGTAAATTAAGGCTCTTGGGAGGAGGAGCTTCTTTGGGGCTTTTTGGGCAGGCCCTTAAATGCAACCACATGTATGTTTAACACGACAGGTGAGAGATCGGTGTGATCACAGGTCAGAGGTCACCGCAGAGGCTGAGGAGGCTGGGAGTAGCCCTCCCCTAGAGCTCACAGAGGCAGTGAAGCTTGCCACACCTTGGTTCTGGACTTCTGGCCTCCACAATTGTCAGAAAGTAATGTTCTGTTGTTTTGAGCCACTAAAATGATGGTGATTTGGGGCAGCCACAAAAAAACTAATACATGGAAGAAGCTAATTGGACAGCAGCTGAAATCCATGGAGAGTCCACATGGGTCGAGCACAGTGACTGGAATCTTTGGCCCTCGGCCACTTCATGGTACAGGTCGGATGCTTCCCAGTAAACTGTAGTAAGGAAGAGGTGGTGACCCAGATGCAACCCATCCCCCAGGAGACCCACTCATGGGAGGGAGGAGCCAGACTGGATGACCTTGAAGGTCCTTCCCAGCGGGAGGCTGCGTGGGCCCAACCCTGTGGGTGCTGGGCTGCCTGACAGATAGAATTATGAATATTCTCACTTAGAGAAAACTCCCAAGAGCTACAGTTAAAGTCAAACTGGGGAGATATAGAAATCAGGGAGCACAGTTAAATGTTTGGAAACAAATAGTTGAGTTTTTAAAGGACCAAAGAAAATTAAACTAACTACATAATGCTTTCCCAGATAGCACCAGAGCCTTGTGTGTTTTTTGTGTGTTTGTTTGTTTTGTTTTGGTGTTTTCTGGTTTTTGTGTTTTGTGTGTTTTGTTGCCAACAAACATCATCTTCTACCTCATGGTCTAGGTCCATTTTTAGTTTTTTTAAACCTTAAAGCCCATAATAAGAAAAACATTTTAGAGCTAAGACCCCCATTTCTAGCAATACAGCAGGATGAAAAATCTAAAAACTATTCTATGACAACAGACAAATATCTTCTTGAATCCATGGATAACCTAAAAAAAGAAAAGGAGAGGCAATTCCAAGAGACAATAGAATCAAAAAGAAGAGAAAAAGACCGACAAGAGGAAAGAAAAAAAGAAGAAGAAGAAGAAGAAGAAGAAGAAGAAGAAGAAGAAGAAGAAGAAGAAGAAGAAGAAGAAGAAGAAGAAGAAGAAGAAGAAGAAGAAGAAGAAGAAGAAGAAGAAGAAGAAGAGGAAGAAGGAGAAGGAGGAGGAGGAGAAGGAGAAGGAGAAGGAGAAGAGGAGGAGGAGGAGGAGAAGAAGAAGAGGAAGAAGAAGAAGAAGAAGAAAGAAGAAGAAAAGAAGAAGACGAAGAAGAAGAAAGAAGAAGAAGAGAAGAAGAAGAAGAAGAAGAAGAAGAGGAGGAGGAGGAGGAAGAGGAAGAAGAAGAAGAAGAAGAAGAAGAAGAAGAAGAAGAAGAAGAAGAAGAAGAAGAAGAGGAAGAGGAAGAGGAAGAGGAAGAGGAAGAGGAAGAGGAAGAGGAAGAGGAAGAAGAAGAAGAACTTGGGCTGGAACAGCCCTGCTGAGGTGGACACAGGCCCTGGAGCCTCAGGATGAAGCTGTGACCCCCAAGGGATGACACTCCCCACACAAAGGTGACGAGAGAAAACCCACTGAGGGAAGAAACAACAGGTGTGTTTCTGTGACCTGAGCAAGCATTGGTTAAGAGGGGAGCAGAGTTGCCTGAGGAGGCTCTAAGCTTCTCCTTTACACTACTTATAAGATTCATGACTCTGGACTGAAAAACTCACCTTCTAAAGGTGGTAATTCCATGGAAACAATCCACTGCAAGCAAGACAGTTGCTGCAGGGGGTTGAAAGTGGAGCACAGTTGAGACTGAGGAGCTCTGGTGCAGGCTGGCCAGAGCCCTGGGTACTCCCTAAACACTAAGGTAGAAGGCTAATGATAAAGCTGTTGAGATAAATCCCAGCCAGGTCATGACAAGACTCAAATGCCAGGGAAGGAGTGTTAGTGAAGTTCATGAAACAGAAATAAAAAAGCAAAACCACACATTAGGGAAATGGAATCCCAGAAAATCTTACCTTCTTGGGTCCTAAAGTCATCTTCAGAAAAAATGTTGAAATCACCACACAGCCCACAGGTCTTGTTGAAGTATCTGTCTGACAGCAGGACTTGAAAGTTGCCAGTGCTGTCAATCCTAGCCACAAAGCCATAGGCCTCACTGGACAGCTTATAGAACCCAGCCTCGGTTTCCAGATACAGCCCTCTGGAGGCATAGGGCATGGAGATTCTGGAGGGCAGAGGACAGGCTCAGCACTGGGCTTTGTGTCCATTTCCAGGATATTTCTCCCACTTTCCAGCACAACCCCATGTTACAGGGTCCCAACCTTGACCCAAAGTGACAGAGGTTCTAGACCCAAGATGGAGACCTGGCTCCCACGCTGCCTTGCTGCACTTCCTCCAGGCACAGTTATTTCCTCTCTCTGGGCCCCAGCTTCTCCATCTGGAATATGGGGGCAGGGGTCCCCAGGGTCCTTCCTGATTCAGCATTCTGGGCTTCTGACTTACCTCTGGTCCCCCTGCAGCGCTGTGCCATTGACAAACAAATGGATATCAAAAAATTCCCCAAGATACACGGAGAGACCAACTCTCTCACCATGTTGGAAGACTCCTGAAATAAAAAAGAGTCGATATAGTACTGTTGCTCATAAAAGGTGTTCAATGTATTAATTATATTACTTCTAAAGTCTTTTGGAAAACTCCCCCAAAAGACTTAATAAGTGGACAACAGAAATCTCTCTAAATATCTCCCTTGCTCATTCATCTTCTTGTTCTTCCCAGAATACTTATTTGAGTGCCTTCCAGATACCCAGCCTTCCATTGCTCTTACACTTCACAACAGAAAAATGTGAAGGCATGATCACTCCCTTCTGCGAGTTTACAATCTAGGTACAAATGTTTGACAACATGTAGCAACTGAATACATTGCAAAACAGCAAACAGAAGCAACAAGAGAAGCTATTACGATAGGTACTCCAGGATAGTGTTACTTAAAATGTTATCTTGGGGGCTGGAGGTGTAGCTGCAGGAGAGAGCCCTCACCTGGCATGGGTGGGGCCCTGGGTTCAATCTCCAGCACCACAAAATAGATAGATGAGAGATAGTTAGGTAGATAGATAGATACATAGATAGACAATCTTTGGACACCTAGCTCAGAATCCCTGAGCTCTTTGTTCAAAATAGAAATGGAGATCTATGACAAGACCCTGCCTCAAAAACAAACAAATAAATAGCAATGTAGGGGCAGAGATGGCCTTGCCGCCTTGGCCAACTATAGAACCGCATGGAGCCTGTGGGTCCCCAGCCATGCGCGGTAAGGGGCTTCGAGGGCCATCAGCCCACACGCCAGGCAGCCAAGCGAGGGGAGCTGGAGTGAGCTGTCCAGAGAAACAGACTGATGGGGGCAGCGAGGGGCATGACCTTGGAGCCCAACTGAGCTCCTAAGGTCTTTGCGTCCGGGAATCACAGGAAAAACACAATTTACTTCCTGACCCAGTGTTGTACACACACACACACACACACACACACACACACTTCTCCCGTGTTTACTTTACCATGTCCCATGCGCTCTGAAATTTTCTGATGTTTTCTATTCTATTTTATAAGGGGTGATCAAACTGGAGATTGAGTGTTTAAATTTTAAAATTTATGACAGTAAAGAACACATCGCCATTAATGCCTCTGAGAATGCCTCTCCTCACTCTAACACACTCATCCCAGCTAGGCCATTCTGGAAGTCTTCATTCATGTCCTTTCGGGGTGTGATCAAAAATACAGAGAGCACTGCTGCTGGGTGCCAGGAGTGGAAAGAGCAGGCATCACCCCCTTACTCACTGGGTCTGGTTCTTCCCCAAAGTAGACTTGTCCTAAAAGGTAAACACTTTGAATCAATTCAGGACATGCAGGAAGCCACAACACTGCATGCAAAGACTCTCTCGAGACAGGACTTGGAGATTTGCTTCAGAAAGTCAGGAGAATGAAGGGATTAATGCATTCAAAGCAGGGGCAGGGCTCTGGGGGAAATCGATACCAATGTGCTCTCATCGTTTTGAATTTAAACATCTGCTGTACTTTCCAATCACAACTTTATGTGTTCTTTGTCAAAGCTGGGGAGGATCCAGGGCTGTGGCTCAGGGCAGAAAACACAGTTGAGTCTGGCTCACAACCCACGAATGCCGGGACAGCTGTAAATCTGCCTTCGGGTCACCCACTTGGCACCCTTGCTGTAGAGGACATGAGGCCATCGGGGATAAGAGCCGGGGACCCCAGGGATCCCACACCCCAGGGACTTCCAGGAAAGCACTTCTGTAACTGCAGGCTGTCACCCAAGGTTAGGGACAAACCAGCCCAGCTGCCCCAGCTTTGCCTGGCCTTGAACTCAGTGCCGGAGCCCGAATTGCACAGTCAGCCCCAGCCCAGCCCCAGCCGGAGGTGTCCTGCAGCTTCAGAAGCAGGCGGGCAGCTGGGAGCAGGACAGACCTAGGGCCTTCTCTGGCTTTCATGTGGAGCTTGCTGGAATGCATTTCTAACAAACACCCCGTCCTCCATTGGAAATGTGCTCTGACAGGACATCCCACTGGCCACTCCGGAGCAGTGACCCCCAGGCTGCTGATGCTCCTGGCTCTCCGGGTGTGAGGCTGAGAGCCAAGTCCTTCAGGCTGAGGAAGGGCAGGCTCCACAGAGCAGGAGCACCCAGGACTCTGCGGGTCTCTCTCCGGACCTGAGCTGACTACAAGACTTGGCCTGGGCCCTGCAGCTGCCTGACCAAGGCTGGGATCAAGAAGGCGCCCTCTGCACCAGGTGGCCTTCACGGACGGACAGACGGACACAAACGCCTTCCCCGGGATATGAGCAAGACCCAGGAATGTGAATTATGTGCAGGATAGGATGGAGGAAACAGGATGTCATTGTTCACATCTCCTGTGGACCAAAACCACAGGGTCCAAGCTCTGAGTTTCTTTCCCTGACCCCAGGCTCTGGTCCCCCCGAAACACCAGTGCGCCCCTATGTGTTGTTCCTCCTCTAAAGCCCACCCCGTCGCACCTCCAGAGTCAGAGCTGGCCCCAGGAGGACACAGCCACCGGCCTTGCTAACATCAACAGCACAACACTCTCAGGAAATGAAACCAACCTACACCTCCACTAAAGCACATTTGATCCGGAGCCTGGTGCAGGCCACTGACGTCCCAGAAACTCCACGAGCCGGTGGGGGGCACACTGCGTTGTGTGGCCGTGACCCCTGGAGGTGGCCGGGAGGCCAGGGCTCGGGGCAAAGCTGTGCAGAGGGCACGGGATGGGGTGCAGTTTACACTGGCCCAACCTCCACAGCCGTGCCCAGAAATGAGGGGAAGCAGGACTTGGGCTTGGATCACATGTCACACCTTCAGACAGCTGGCCTGATGTGAGCCTCGCGGTATCTGCGGGGCGCTGAGGGACCATCCACATCCCCAGAGGTCTGGGTGAAGGAGCCCAAGGGAGATGGCTGGAGACAGGAACCAGCCGGCCAACTCAGAGTGAGCCCAGGGCTGGGCAGGCCAGGGGTGGTCAGGGGCTTCCTGGGAGGGGGAGGCCCAGACACTGCACCACCGGAGTGCCCTTGCCTGTGAGGGCCCCTAAAAGGGGAGAAGTGAGGAGCTGGGCTCACATGGGAAGGAATATAGACTCCACACCTGGTCCCGAGATTTCCCTGTGTCCCATTTCCTGGCCCGTACCAAGATAGGCAGTCACAGCAGGACGGGCAAAGGCAAGACAACAACACTGCAGGGGCCACAGTGCCTCTCTGCCCCGAAACTGCTCCCAGCCATAGGGTAGAGCGGTGTCTTCCCAAATTTGCTCGTTCACCCCCAGAGCCCCCTCAGGGGGAGCCTCACCAGCATGGCTGTGCAGAGGAGACGGCCACGCAAACACCGGGCCACCTGAGGCTGGCAGACTCTGGCCCTGGCTCCCCAGAGAGAAGGTGCAGGGGGCTCCTCATAGCTGCTGTCCCAAGCCGTCCCCAGCCCCTGGGAGCACAGGGGATCCCAGGGCCCTGGTTCCCGATGCATCGTGCCCTGAACTGTCCCTGGATGACCCTGTCATCTTCTGCCCTGCCTCCCACCTCGACCCCATCAGAGTCCCAGAGGCTGCCCCATTGAGCATCACGACCCCACTTTGTTTTGCCCTGTGGCCCCACCACACTGCCCACCGCGTCCCAGCCCTGTGCTTATCCAAGTTTGGTGCCCTGGCACCAAACAACAGTGCCTGGGAATTGGTTAGAAATGAAGAAACTCTCAGGCTCCGGCCAGACCCACTGAGTCAGACCTCCAAGGCTGAGCCCAGCAATCCAGTTCTGGAGCTGCTCCCACCGAGCCCCACCCCACTCCTGGAGGGAGAACACACTCGTTCCAGCCTTGTACCCTTGTACACTCTGTCTCCACAGCCTGGAGCCTGGAGCCTCCTCCCCTGTCCTCTCCACCCAGCCAAAACCTCCCACACCTCAGCTCCTTGAAGGCCACAACTTGTGCGACTGCCTCTCCTCTTCAGTACAGCAGAGCTGCAAGTGAGCCAAGGGGTGAATGCGGATGGCACTGAGGCCTCGCTGTGATAGGTGGCTCTGCAGGGCCAGGGCAGGGGGCAGAGAGGGAGACACTGACAAACAGAAGCTCCTCGCCGTGGCCACAGCCACCTCACCGAGCTCCCAGCAAAATGAGTGGGCCAGAGAGGACCTGAGTGGATCCACACCGGGCCCGTTGGGTAACAGCCCCGGGAGCTCCACAGCCTGTGTGCCACACGAGGGCCTGGATGTTGCCGAAGACCTTGACCTCTGTCCATGGCCTTCGGTTGAGTTTAGCAAGGGTCCCTCTGGGTCAGTTTACCCTCAATTATGGTCAGACTCCTCCTACCCCAGCCCGAAACTCTGGCTCACTTCAGAGGCTTCCCCTTGTCCTGGTGAGTCCTCCTGAGCTTTCCATCTCTGACTCCCACCTCGCTGGCTCTGAAGCCTGCTCCCCCTTGTCTTTGGAGCCGAGCTCTTCCCCCCAACCACCACCACACAAGCCCCTCTGTATTTTCCCTCGAGTACAAGCTCTTTCCTGCCAGTTGTCACAGCTGCCCAGAGCTTTCCTTTTACTACATGGATCTTAGCTCTCCAGGGCAGAGGGCAGCACCTTGACTGGGTTCTGTGCCATCCTCACATGTCACAGCTGACTGACTTCCACAGTGTGGGAGTTGCCATCGGTGTGTCCAGCCTGGAAGTGGCCTGTCTCCCCTTAGTACAAAGGAAATGTCCTCCATTCTGAACAGCAGGAGTTAAGTTCCCACCCCTACTCTATTACCTGCCAGGCCTCGGGAAGATCATACAACTTCGTGGGGCTTGTTTCTTCCTCTGTAAAACAGGGTGCCCATCCCAACATACCAGAGCTGTATGGGGTGCAGGGACACCTGTACAGCACATTACTTTTCCAGGAATGTGGGATTTGCTCAGTGTGGGTATTCTGAATTTCACGAGCCACCAAGACAGCGATGCCTCTTCCTGTTGCAAGGAGTGCTATGTGTTCCAAAGGTCCTTCTAGCTGTTTCTCTCTTGTTTGTTCTGGCTTGGTTTGTTTTATTTTTGCAGTGCTGTAGACTGACCCCAGAGTTTTGTGCATGATGAGTTAAGAGCTCTATTACTGAGCTGCATCTCCAGACCTTTTTCTATTTTATTTTGACACAAGGTCTCACTAAGTTACCCAGGCTGGGCATGAACTTGTGACCCTGCTGCCTTGGCCTGCTGACACAGATCACCACAACCAACGAGATCACCCTTTTTGTTGAGCTCCTAACATGAGCCTAGACCCAGAGCAATGAATGCATTCGCGACCCCTGGAGAAGCAGAAACACTCTCCAACCCACCAGGCTCTGATGGAGAGAGACCCCGGAAAAGCCAGGGAAGCCCGGTGTCATGGAAAGGCCATCACCCCCCCATTCCCAGCAGTGACCCTGAGCTGAGTGTGCAGTGAGAACTGGGCCCTCTCCCAACACCAGGGCCTCAAGCAGCTCCTGAGGCAGGACTCACCCAGAATGGAGAAGGAGTGTGTCTGGCAGTCCCCTGCCAGGAGGAAACTGCAATCTCCCGCGAAGCTGTACATGTTCCCGTCAAAGGTGTTGATGAAGTCACTTCCAAAGAGGCTGCACCGGCCCCTCGAGGGCCTGTCTTGAGTCCCTTCTGAGCAGAAGGTCCCTGGAGGGGAAGCGCCGGTGAGCATAGCTGGGACTTCAGCCAAAGCTCTCTGACCTGGAGGGAACTTTCCATCTGACACAGCTCCAGCCAGGTAGCAGCCGGGACTGGGGCGGTCACGGAGTGGGCTCTCTGGCTCTCGGGAAATCTACTCACTTTAGTGATGTTCCTTACTGACTTAAAATGTTAAAAATGCCCATAACAGAAAGTGTGTATGGGGCTGAGGATTTAGCTCAGTGGTTCCACCACCTGCCCTGCAAGTTCAAGGACTCAAGTTGGATCCCTGGTACCAAAATAAGTGTGCATACAGAGAAAAATACAAGGTGAAATCATGACCCAACATTCACCAATAACTCGAGTGAATACTTTGGTGTTTATCTTTTTTGTTTCACTTTAGGGTCTTTACACAGTTACGGATTCTTACACCCTGATGATCATCCTGTGAAAACCATGTATGACCGCTGTTTATTTCTCAGTAGGTTGTAAATGATTCGTCACATCTCTGCACATTTATTTATGTATGTGTGCATAGATATATACTATATACTGCATATCTATAGCTATAGCTATACTATATAGATGTCAAACATGATCAGCTTAATTTATATTTATATGTAATTTATAGTAAACTGATTTTTAGTGACTGCATCATGTTTGATGTCTGTATATAGACAGTGTCACCTCCCATTGTTAGGTTCCTAACATTTCCTCCAAGTTTTCGCTACTGTAAATACATTTTGGTGAGCAACTTTGTACATAAATCTACTGGTACATCTGGAGCAGACCCCAGGGTGTGTTCATCGGTGTGGCCACGAAGTGCCAATTACTTCCAGGTGCAGCTCCGTGTGCGGGTGTGTGCGCACAGGTAGAGAACCAAAACAGTACATTTCCCCCGGCAGAGAGTGACAGAGGTACACTGTGGACAGCAGGCCTATGCCGCAGGGTGCACACGGAGGCAGGCCCAGGGGTGAGGTTCCCACTGCCATCCATAGACTCCGACAGGCAGAGAGGGTGGGAAGGCACGCGAGGCCGTGCAGTAGGAAGGGAGCTGGCCTGCAGCCCCAAGGCCTGACCTCTGCCTCAGGCTCAGTACTTCACAGCAGTCCCTCTCCTCCCTGACACTCGGTCGCTCGTCTATACCATGGGAGCCCACGCTGGATGCTCTTCAACCCTTTCTAGACAAAATCCACCCCAGGCTCAGGTCCCACCACAGCAGCCAGCTCTGTGCCCCCTTTGTCTTTTCCACCCGACGGGAGAAGGTGCTGCGGGCACCCAATGTCTGGGGCACATGTGTCAGAGGCCAGGAGCTTTCACAAGACACAGCCAGTGCCTGGAAAAGACCCTTTTGGTGAGACACAGACTCGCCTCCTGTGCCCCAGAGAGAACCCGCTCCAGGGCCCAGGGTAGGGGTTAAGACCGGAAGTACCTTGAGACCTACCTGGCAAGGTGAGGACCAGAGCAAGCAGCACCCTGGTGAGCCTGGCAGGAGCCATCTGCCGGGAGCAAGAGAAAAACAAGCTGTTTCTCACTGCCCAACAGACCTGCTGCCATGTGCTGTCGAGGCACAAAGCAGGGAAAACAAAAACATCTTCATAAAGCAAGAGAAAAGATCGTTCCCTCGTTGACACTCATTTCTAACTTGAACTGGGTTGCTTATCCGAAAAGATGCCCCTGGCCAGTGCCAGTCACAAGAGGAACAATCCCCGTAAGCCATGCCCTAGACGCCCTTCCCTGGACAGCAGTCCCAGCCAAGGCAGAGGGGGAGCTCCACCTGCCCAACTTCCCGCATCCCCACATCCCTGCGGCAGCCAGGAGCAGAGCAAACTGGGGAGCAGGAACCGCCTTGGACTTCTGCTGCTGGCAGCTTTTGCCCTTACAGTCTGCCCCCAGCAAGACCCAAGAAGTAGAGAGAGGGACAACCACTGTGTGAAGCAAAGCAGGATCCCCAGAGGGAGAAAGAGAAGGGGTGTTGAGATCACCCCTTCTAGTCCAGGGATGGAGACACAGCCTAGACTCGAGACCAGGGAGGCTCGGCCCTGCATCCTCCTCCCGCCACAGCTCGGCCCTCCTTCCAAAGAGCATACCTTTGCAGACGGAGGCCTCGGGTGTCCACAGTCCCTGGGAAGCCCAGCCACTGCACGGTGGTGTCACCTTCCCTAGGCCATGCTCCCAGCACTGCTGGGGACTGTCTGGCTGGGAAGCAGCCCAGGGGCTGGAGAGTCCCCACAGAGGGGAGACAATGCCCGAGTTGTGCCTGATCAACCACCCCCTCTTCCCTACCAGAGAACTGCAAACTCTGGGACACGGCAGCCAACCCCTTAATTACCAGAGGGAAACAATGGCAGGAAATGGCACTAGAAACACCCCAGGCTGATAAGGCTTTGAACCCTTGGAGGGAGATCTCCCGGCAGGTCCTTGATGAGCTGCCTTGGCCCCCAAAGAAAACACCCCAACTCCCACAGCCCCAAGTGAAGTCCTTGGTTTTGGGGCTCCCCAAATGCCACACAGACAGCCGGTGCCTGGGAATGCTGGCTTTTGCAGAGCAGGCCAATGGGGACAGGGAGGGACCAGGCTGGATGAACTCAGGGGAGACTCCGGGGGATTTGGTAAAACACCTCACTGAGCCAGTGTAGCTATCAAGAAGGGGGAGGGGAGTGCACTACACTTCTTGTCCACCCAGATGTGAATGATCCGGCCCAGACCCACACAGAACAGTCCATTTGGGCTGTGGCCAGCATTTAATGGGCAGGATGAAGACGGTCATGAGACCAGGTCTTCGTAACATGATGGGGGTGGGTGTGATGGTTTGATTCTAATAGTCTCTCTCCCTCTCTCCCTCTCTCTTTCCTCCCTCCCTCTCTCTCTCTCTGTGTAGGGGACTGAACCCAGAGTTTGGCCCATACTAGGCAATAAGCCACTGTGCTACCTCCTCAACCCTCCAATGACTCTCGCACCCCACTTCCACTACCCTGATCCCTCCCCAACCTTATGTACACAGACATATAGACGTGTGCATGTGTGCACCCTCCGTGTGTGTACACACACACTTTCCATCCCGCCACACCCCGAATCTCGGTTCTCAACACATCAGCCAAACTAACTCCTGCTGAAGAGAGACTGCAGGGGGCAGGGGCAGGACTGGCGCACAGCAGGGCCCTGGCTCTGACCTGGGAGGAAGCCCCTCCTCTGCGTCTCACAAGATGCCCTGCTGCGAGACTCTGAGGAGCCGCGTGCTCCCTCCCTGCCACACGACCCACTGTGAAGGAAGGAGGAGGCACAGTGGCAGATTAGCCAAGGTGGGAAGGCAGCGAACAGTGTCCACCTCCACCTTTGAAAAGAAGAAAAATCACAAAACCTGAAAATCTCCCATTAAAAATATACCTGGAAATGTTGCGTTAAATACGACAACTGTTTTCTTTTTAACACACAGCTGAGTTTGGAGGGAAGTCAGGAGCACTGTACTTCCAAAGGTGCACGAGGAAAAAGGACCTGCGGAAGCCCAGGGTGGTGCAGGCTGAGGCCCAATGCTGTGTGGGCTGGAAGTGGACTTTGGGCCTGGCGAACTGGCACCAAGACCCCCGCTCAGAGCTGACACCCGAGAGTAGACCAAGGAAAGGGACCGTGCAAGACATGGCTGATAAGGAGTCTTAGAGTCTCCCTCAGTTTTGAGGGTAGGAAAATGAAGTCTTTCTATAGTGTGTGGGGCCTTGGTTACCTGTGGGTCTGAAGGTCAATTACATTACTCTGGTCAGGAGTCCCAGGCTAAGTGAGACTGTCGAGAATTCCTGACAGAAATGAGCACAAATTTAACTAAAAGATAAACCTTCTCCTCAGGTCACACACGATCCCCTCAGAAAAAGCTGTCTTGAGGATGGATTCAAAATTTCAAATTTACAACACTGGAGAGAAATGGTTCACCACAAGCAATAAGCAGTCACAATAAAAAATAGAATGAAGCCGGGCATGGTGGTGCACACCTGTAATCTCAGCACTCAGGAGGCTGAGGCAGGAGGATCGCTGTGAGTTCAAGACTAGCCTGGGCTACATAGTGAGTTCCAGGTCAGTCCCAACTACATAGTGAGACCCTGTCTCAAAAAACAAAACAAAACAAAAAAACAGTATGAGAATTCAGGTAATAAAATGATAAAAGAAAACAGTAAGTGTTGAAAATTATAATGGACTAAAAACCAAGAATTGGAAATAAGAACAGCGAAACTTAAAAACAATTTTTTTAAGGAATGAAAATTTATAGTGAACCAATATTGAAAAGGTTGAACTTAAAACAAATATTTCTGGAGAAAATTTGTTGAAAATAAATTCAAGGAAATTACTCAAAGAAATAAAGGAGATTGAGAATGGGAGGCGAATTCCGAAAGGCAGATCGAGACAGAAGTGCTGGCTTCCCCCGCTGGAGCACTCCTCCGGCTCCTCTGCTGAGCGCGCAGACGCGGACCCTGAGTGCTTTGGTGCGGATAATTACTCGGGAGGGCAGGAAACAGAGGCAGAGAAGGGAAATGTGATGCGGGAAAGGAAAGCTGCCAACAGATGTTTACGAGCCTCCAGAGCGGGCAAATGGCACGGCCCTGGGGAGACTCGGGTAGACGTCAGAGCTGGCCACACCCAGTCAATCACGCAAGAGTCTCTGCTGCACCCCTCAGTGTCCCGAGCCGGGGACCTAGGAGGGAGACCAAAGATGAGACCAGAGGACTGTAGAGGGGAGGTCTGGTCTCCGTAGTGATCGCCCCTCGGAGCTGGGGATTAGGGCCTTTCTCTTTTCTTTCCTTCTTTTTTCTTTTTTTCCTCCCAGAAAATCAAAAGATGTACCATTAGCAGTCCTTCCTGGAAAAACTACATAAAGAAGATAGTTCAGGAAGAAGGAAATGAAACTCAGAAAGAGCCAGAAGGAAAGGTTAACGAAGAAATTGATAAATAGGGGTGCAAGTATGACAGGCAGAAAACAACAAAATAATAACGAGGGTAGAGCAATAACAATGACAGAAAGAATAAGATGGGACCTAAATACCAGACATCAATAGCACACAGGGTACGGAGGCAGGAACGGACACAATAGTGTCGACAGTGATGCCCTCGCACTCCTAAAAAGAAATAAAAAGGTAATAACTGTAGTCTTTTTAAGGCAATGCTGTAGAGTAAAACTTAAAGGAAGAATAGTTAAATAAAATTAAACATTTTGGAGGACAGGAAATAAAGAAAACTACATGCATGTAGGAGAAAAGTGAGGGAAAAAAAACAGGACAAGTAATGTAAAATAATGATAAACCCAAAGAGATCAATAAGAAATCAAAAGGGATTACCTAATAATCTAAGAAGGTTCAAGTCATCACCATCACGGTGATAGATGTTACAATAATCTAGCTGTGTTCAAGAGGTGAGTCTAAAATATAAAGTCACAAAGACTGCAAAAGAAAGGCAAACTGTAACCAAGAGGAAGTTTACTACATTAGACAATTCAGATTTCAGCATAAACCTCATTATTAACAATAAAGAGATAAAAGGGTGATAAAGGCTCCAATGCATCGGGAAGACACAGTTCTAGATAATTATATAAGCTTATAGGTTTTGGTTTTTGCTTTAGAGACAAGGTCTCACTATGTAGTCCAGGCTGGCCTTGAACTCACTATGCAGAGCAGGCTGGCCTCAAACTCATAGCGATCCTCCTGCCTCAGCCTCCAGAGCACTGGGATGACAGATGTCACCACCATGCCTGGCAGCATGTGGTTTATTTGTTTTAGGATGACTGACTCAAGGCTGGATGAGAATGGGCTTGGCCTGACTTCCATCCCCAGCACTGCAAATAATTAAACAGATAAATTTTTTAAAATGATCGAATTATAAGTCAAAGAAGAAAAGGTTTTGGATAAAAGCCACCACATCCATTTACTTTTTTAAAAAGCAAACAAATATTTGAGTGGCATACAGAGAGAAAGGAATATCCTTGGCCCGAGAAGCAGAACCAGCTTTACACAGGGTAAGGTGCAAAACACTCTGAAACGCAGAGCAAGACCAGCATGTTCCATGTCAGCTCTGCCGATCCGCCCTGGACCAGAGGCCCAGGCATGCAGGGAGACGAGGAAACATAAAAATACCATGCCAAAAACTTTCTTTTCCAAGAGAAGCCTGGGCCTCTCACACACTTCTTAAGCACACTTTACCACTGAGCCAACACCCCAGCCCAGAAGATCATTCTTTATAGTGACCCTATGAGGACAGTTGTGAGGAGGAAAATAAATGACATGAAATACATGCAGTAACATTGCGCAGGAAATTATGACCTTTGCTGCCAAACACAAAACAAAACCCAATGAGACGCTCCCTGTGTTCCTGCCTACTCCGTCATCATGCTATACAGATACCAAATATCTCCAAATCAATCTATACATTCAGCGCAATCCCAGTCAGAACCTAACAGGGCTTTCGTGAACTTAGATGAGCTATTCCTAAAATCCACACAGAAATCCTGAGCTGGAGAACAGTTAAAGCAACTCCAAATGTTAGTAGTTAATAAGAAATAGACCACAATCCAGTGACGATGGGTAATGATATGAAAAGGCCATTCTCAGAAAGAAGCCACTTGGCCAGCGGACATAAGAAAGCCTCTGGGCCAGGGATTTGGTTCAGTGGTGCCACGCCTGCCTGGCAAGTGCAAGGTCCTGAGTTTGATTCCCAGTAGCAGAAAAGCCTCACGGGTCACCAGGTGAGCTCTCCGCCCTCGGAAGGGTTAGGACTCGGAGCAGCTCTGATTCCTACTCTGTGTTACAAGGACAAACAGGGACTCCCTTTGGAGAAAATGTAGAACTACCTATAAAACGTGGCGCTGGTCTTCCCCACAGCCCTGCGGCTGCACCCCTAGGTGGCTGCCACAGGCTTGGCCCCTCAGGATCACTCACTTCACCACGGCGCAAAGCCAGCCTAGCAGGATGCTCACTGCAGCAGTGTCTGCACTCACAGAGAGGTTTAGACACCCAACCTAAACACGCGTCCATAGGACAAAGGTGATGTGAATCACACTGCATCTAGCCTGTGAAGTACCAAACATCAGCTTAAAAAATATCTGGGCTATCTGGACAATGTGGACAGATCCCCACAATAATGGTAACCAAAACAAGAGAAACTATCAGAGGCTACATGTACAGTGTGGTACTTACTGTGTGTGGAAAGTTAAAGACTGTAAAAGAAAAGTATGTATTGTTGTTTATAAGTATGTGTAACTGTAACTGCAGTAAAAGTGAGTAGGTACGGAGTGCTGATCACTACATTTGAGAAAGCGGTTACACAGGGG